AGAGATAGCTGCAAAATACCCCAGCGTTATGAGAAAGCTCAAACTAGAGTACTGGTATTCTGACAAGGACTTTATTGCATCATTGCTCCAGAGCCAGCATTTTTTGTCAACCCTCAGCGTTGACACCTACATGAATTCTTTTGACAGTTACATGGAATTGGAGCAGCCGCACACATCTTTGACAACGTTGAATTTGCAATATGTAAGATGGACAGATGAAGATGAGGTCCTAAACATCAGCAGTCAAACATTCCCTTCACTACAAAAATTCCGGATGCAGTATCTGGAGAAAAGCATGCACTTGAGTACCCGTTCACATGTTATGTTTTCGAAACTATTCACCAACGTGTGGAACAATCTTTTTTTGCTTGAACTACCTTATGTCACTGATACTGTTGCCATCCAAATCTCAAAGTCTTGTCCCCAACTTCGTTCATTTATGACTGAGCTGTGCTATAGTTTCACATTGCCAGATGATAACATTGCTAATATCAACGACGACGTATGGGCAGCCGATGATGGCGAAGATCAAAATATCGAAGATGATAACGATAATGAGAGACCAATAGTCCCAACCATTTTCATGCGAGCCCAAGCAAGCTTAAGAAACTCAAATACCCTAGGATCGTACATTCTTACCAACAAAGGTTTTATTGCAATGATGCAGTCGTTGCCAAAACTAGTAGAATTCAAACTAGGTACCTACTCAACAAATTCATGTCACTTGCTAGACCATGGAATCTTACTTGAAAATTCCCAGCTATTACAAGGAGGTGTTGAATCCATCACCATCCCAACGATCGAAAATATAATGGAATCTCCAGACATAGTTTCATGGAAATGCCTAGACATCAGATCAATAAAAATTCGCAAGTTGTGGCTCCCGGTTAGTGTATACGGAATAATGCTGAGAATGCTGCCTCACCTAGAGAGTACAATATTTGAAATCGTTAACCCCAATGTCGACCAGCTGATTAATACCTGGCCAACCCACCATTTCCTTAACGAAATCGAGCTTCGGTTCCAAAACGAAGCATCTGCAGATTTTTGTCGACAGGTTTTCAATCTATTGCCTAGATTGAAGTTTGTTTATTTGGCAAATTATGCGTTTGATGAAAAGATCTTGGAACAGGAGTATCCCAATCTTGTTATTAGGAAAAAGTGGTAATGGTATCATTAAAAAAACAGTCATTCTGTTTTGTACTTTTGCTTTATTATATCCGCACATTTTACTATTATGTATATACATATATTATTATTATTATTATTATTATTACATGACAATGATATTTCCTCAATATATTTTTAATTTGTAATAAAATATTATTATTTTCATTTATTTAAAAAGACTTGCCATCTATGGTAAAAACTGTAGTTTCTATTCATGGTAAAATTCAATAGTTTTAATAGCAACCCATAATTAGTGAAGTCCATATCATTTGTAACAATATACTGAATTCTGTTATGCAACAGTAAAAGTACTGCAGAATTTACTTTTTTGAAACCTCACCTATTTTTACAACATAATTTAATTTGCACAATTGTAAATATGTTGTACCTCGAAGAATACCTTGACAGTAAGCTATTCAATCATGTATATTTTTCATGTGTCTATGAAAAGAGTACAAAGTACAAGTCCATATAAATACTAATTATAAATCATGTGTTTTCCTTGATAATAGCCATAGAGGGTCTCCCTATGGAGCTCCAGCGACAATTTACTCTAATGAGAGAACTTGATGCTTTATCTCAAGGTAAATAACAAACATTATTAATTACATATTATACCTTTGTCACATCAATAAATCCTTCATCGCCCCCTTACCACATATCACAATAAAAATTGCAAATATAGAGCTCCAAAACAAAATGCAAACAGACATATCAGGCTACCTTGATTCTATCACCTCAATGACACGTGAAGAACGAGCTACAAAACTCCAAGACTTTATGCAGCTATTCAGCAATGCACTCAAGCATGGCGAGGAAAAAGTCGCCTTAGCTACACAAACATATGAGTTGGTTGACAAGCATATCAGAAAACTTGACGAGGATTTAGCCCGTTTTGAAGAAAGACAATTAACCATGCCACCTAGAATTGCTCATTCATGGGGGCCAGGTGCTACCAATATGGCTGTAGATAAAGATTCAGGAGATATTATTAGTAATAGTAATAACAATAACAACAACAACAACGATAATAATGGTGGCAGTAAAACTTCTAGTGGTGGTGGTGGTGGTGGTGGCTCGACGTCAAAGAAACGTAGAAACGCACGATCAACTTCACCTAATACATCAGGAAAGGCATCCAGCGGTCATGGTCAACCTGGTGGTGGTAGCGGGGGTAGTAGACATGGACAAGGACATAAAAAGGAAGGCGGTGGGACTAGTAGTTCTAAAGGAAAAGGATCCAAAAGGTATGTAAATAAAATTCACCAACCCACGTATAGTAATGTAGAGTTATTATATTCTACGCATCTTGTTGACTCGAAATTTTATATATTTTTTAGTACTGCTACAACACAAATATTGGGAGATATGCCTATTGATCCTAATGAGCCACGGTATTGCTACTGCAACCAAGTTTCTTATGGTGAAATGGTGGCCTGTGACGATGATAACGTAAGTATTAAAACTCAAATCTGTATTCCTATTGTTAACACCTTGTGACATTGTTATATCTTTGAGACTATTATTAATATAAAAATTTATGGATGTGATAATTTTATCTAGTGTGAAGTTGAGTGGTTCCATCTTGGCTGTGTCGACTTAAAGGCCCCGCCAAAAGGAAAGTGGTATTGTAAAAGATGTCTTTCCAACCGCAAAAAGAAGAAGGATAATGGAGACAAGTAATTGTGTCAATTTTTAGTGTAGAATTATAATTATTATAGTTGTTGAGTATTTTTTTGGAATATATTTTTTACCAGATGGGTGAGATTTCCCTGTTGAACATATTTATATATATATATGGTAGGCAGAAATAAGCCCTTAGATTTTAGCCCAAACACAAGTCATTTGGTATGGGACTCTTGGGAGCCCTTCTTTGGCTAAAGACCTGTCAACTTTGACAACATTAAGATTGGAATACAAGCTTTTTTGTACTAAAACTTTTTTACTGGCAAAAATACAAATGATTTATAAGGTAATCATGGATTTTTTGGGATTCGAACATTTATCTAAAAGTCGTGACTCAAATGAGAATCACAATTTTTAGTGTATGTGGCATATAGCTACCTCCCTAGGAATAATAAAATGCTTTATCATCGTAAAAATTGTAACTCAAACCCAAGACTCTCAAATCTCAAGCATGTTGATTCTACCAATTCACTTTAGATACTGTTGCACAAAATTTTCATTTTATTATAAGATGTTGTTAATAAAAACAAAAAAGTCTAAATCTAAACTACACTAGACCCTTCCACAGGCAAGCTACAAATTTACTCCCCATACACTTAAACTTTTAGATGAGGAATTTCACATGAAACCTTGCTCATAAAATTTTAGTTTAATCAAAGTACAAACTTACCTTGTAAGAGAAAAACCAGTATGTTCCAATTATAGTACTATATCTAAGATTAAACTTTGGTGATCATCCCATTCTTTGTCATTGATAGGCATTCCAAAAATATACATCTTCAGCAAAATAGAAAGTGCATTGATATTCCACGTACATGGGTTTCACGAAAACATGTCCAATCCTATCGATGGTGACTATTTGGTCTTTCAATTAACAATTTGTAAAAATAGTGGTTTTGGGTTATAGTGTGGCCAATTTTTTCCAACAGACTTGTTCTGATTATAATGCCATGTCTAAGATTAAACTTTGCTGATCATCCCATTTTTTGCTATTGATGGGCATTCTAAAAATACATTTCTTGAGCAAAATTGAAAGTGCATTGATATTCCGCCTGCATGGGTACCACGAAAACATGTCCAGCCCTTTAGGCAGCGACTATCCAGCCTTTCAATCAATTATTTGCAAAAATAGCAGTTTGGGATTATTGTGTGATAATGTCATTGACCAAATGTGTCTGCGCCATCTATTAGACCAGTCTTTTGCAACTGCCTCTCAGAATTAGCACAGCTTGGGTCTGCAATGCCTCTCGTTTCAATGATCCCTGACCACCTATATGGCCACAGAAATGTATAAAAAGGAGTCCCTGGCCTTTATGCCTTATCCAGTAAAAAAGCATCATCACTAGACACTTTTCGATTGGAAACCTCAGAATCGCTCGACCACAAACATACTCGCTCATCACTGCATATCCTTGATACTCGAGCACCCCAGCATGAAACTTTCCACCACCACCACCACCCTTTCTTCTTCTTCCTCTGCAGTAGTTGCTGCTACCATACTTTCTATCCTCTCTCAAGGAGTGGCCCTCGCCAACCCCAACAACAACAACAACAAAGACAACCAAGGACAGGCGCCTGGAAAAACTTGGTCTATTGGAGGCTTTGAAACCATAGTGGACGTCGAATATGACAATGCTCAGGGCCAAATAACAAGCTCAAAACATGAAGCTTTTGCTGCTGTGTCTGCGCTTTCCGTAGGCGATGGTATGACTTTATTTGCATATGGGCAGGGCGTAACAGGCGGAGCACAATTTGTTCCAACACAATTCAACCCCGAAATCCAAGCCCCTCAATCAACTCCTCCAGCTTATAACTAAACATCGCCTGATCAAAGATTCATTCCAACAAATACACACACACACACACAGCTTCTTACTACCGTCTTTTTCAAAATTTTCGCAAAAATTGATTGCCATTGTTATGTTCATTAGATAAATACAATAAATTTGATTACAGGTGTTGAATAAATAACAAAACAATCCGGATATATCAATTCAAAGATAAAACCCCTATGACAGAATATAAGCAGCACATATATAATGAAGGAAGCTATTCCTATTAGTCTGTTTGAAAGATGGAGACAAAAAATGCAGTGCTCTGCAATTACTGGATATCTGTCCGATAGGAAAAAAGAAAAAATGATTGGGTCCAACCGGGGATTGAACCCGGGACCTCCTGCACCCAAAGCAGGAATCATACCTCTAGACCATTGAACCAATCAAATCACTGGCTTTTTTTTTATTCGCTCATAGTAGAAACAATAGTTTTATTATAGTCTTTTTATCTGTCATGGTTGATATTAAATTAGGAACAGTAAAGTAGTGAATATAGCTAAAGTCTAGTATAGACCACAAGAAAAAACAATAATAATATTGTCAATTTTTGGCCGAATACTAGTTTCCTTATTATGGGTTTATAATTTTTAAATAGTAGAATGAAATTCTAAATGGTCATTATAAGATCTTTGGAGCTTCAATAGGGGAATATTTTTTGAGGGATTAAGGTTTACTAGTAAAACTGGATATTCATTTGGCTGTGATTGTTCATATGGGTAATAATTTTTGAAGGGTGAAAGTTTACTAGTAAAATTGGACATCCATTTGACTGTGATTGCCCCTATAATCACTGGTCCCCAAAATTCACCCTTCAAAAATTATGATCCATATATATACTATTGCTACTTTGAAAACATAATAGAATGTGAAATCGCTAGAATCATAGCTCCTATAATCTATATCTAAATAACTCCGTTACATGATTAACAATATAGATGGCAATGGTTTTGTGGTAAAAATAACCAAAATTTATTTTATGATCCCCAAAGACTACTTGTGCAACAACAATATTAAATTTCTTCAAAAACGTATTTCTAAAAGAAATAATCCTATCGGTGAAAACAGATTAGATCATTTCTTCAAAAAAGGGTGTAGATTTTAGAAGATTCATTGTTATTGCGTAGCTTCAAACACCCAACCACCCTCTCTCTATCTCTCGAATATTTAGCAAAAGAAAAGCAAGGACAAGTCGCCTTAACACAAACCCAAAGCCAACCTATATTCATTGCCATCATCACCTTAATCTCTAATTTCCAAGCTAAACACCAAGCCACTATTAATATAGGGTCGCTGCTGCTTTTGCTCTTAGAGTTGATCACTTAGGCCATGAGAAAACGTGTAGCTAATGGATTTGCTGCTACCATCACTTCCCTTCACATAAGAAACAGTAATGCTTTGGCGAGATTTGATTAGCTCTTCTACCGCCGCAATTGCATTGCTGGTCGTAGCTTGGCAACTATATCCGACAGTAATTGAGCTCTAGATATAAAAACAAGTCATAAACAAAAACATTGGCTATTATGGGAATTTGTTTTATGTATATAGAAGGGGATTCTGAAATCGATACTTACAGCGTCAGAACTATTGAGTTCAGATGTAACATTACTCAAAACCTCACGTCCATTATAACTGTTCTCATAGTCGTCAAAGAAAATAAGGTTATCGAGAGAAGAAGCCATGGCTGCGTTACTTAGTGTTGTCTCGCGAGTGCTTAACAGCTAGTCCTTTCTTAGCACTTTCTTAAGAGTTAAGAGAATAGAATGAGTACGATGTTTGGATGTAAATATCAGAGGAGATGAGGTTATCCAATATGGTGTTTCCAAAGCAGCTATTTATACACACACACACTTTTGTGGTATGTTGCTACAAACAGAAAGGTGGCGTTCTTGGGGTTTGGCTTCTACTATACCACAAGGCGTAAATTGGAAATTGTACCAGATGGTACGGTCAGCATTAGTATTCAAAGCATCTGACACTAACCCCTTTGATTCCTGAACTTGATAATCTTATGCGAGATAGCCAGGCAACCATGACCAATGCAAGAACCAAGTGCTTATTGGTTATCACTCCAAGCCATTAATCATGGCTATTCATGTATAAAATCCAAATCATTAGGTCTGCTCGAAAATAGTATTGCATTAAAATCTGCAACACTCTTTTGCCTTTTGAAACTCTCAAAGCATTTAATGTGACTGTTTCTTAAAAAGCTTACCATTGAATATATATCCAACATTTGGTCATATGGGATATAATTTTTGAAGGGTGACTTTTGGTGGCCAACGATTATAGGAGCAACCACTGCCAAATGTACGATCAGCATTTGCTAGCAGATGGTCACCCTTCAAAAATAATCACCCATATGCTTTATCAAATATCTGGGTTGCTAAGCAAAATCAAATTTATTGTAGTTTCTAGCTTGGATGAGTCGTTTCAACTTTTTAAATATGATAGCTAGGCTGGTAATAAATTCAAAATCCTAACCAAATGGACGATTGTTTTTGGAGGGTTAGTCACACATTTGGCTGTGGCTGCCCCTATAATCATTTGCAGCCATCAAAAGGTACCCTTCAAAAATTATTACCCATATAGAGCACCAAGCAGCTATAATTGAGTATTGTTATCCTTCCTCTCCAAATTCTCACAAACCTTTTGGAAAGCTGACATCTTTTACTTTGAAATCTAAAAAACTTGTCCACGGTGATGATGACCAGTTCATATTGCTTGTTAAATTATTCCTTACCCTTAAAGTTTTTGTGCACAGCAGGTATATGAATGGTTATAAGAGAGCAAGTATACTGACACTTCTTGGAAAAACCTTTCTCGATTTGGCTATTAATTGGAAATAAGCACAAGTTTAATGTGCGGCTTTGATGTCAAACACAAGAGTGTGTAGTAACATCTAAACCATAAAACCATATTTGCATATCTGGCCAAAGTTCGCAAAGCCTTAAATAAAGATGTATCCTTGAATTGAATGCCAATCGTTCCTTAATTGAGTCAAAATCTTATTATAATGACCGACTAATATTTCAGCCCACAGTACGTTTGGTCAATAGATAATTTTTGCCAAACAATCATTTATGCTTTAGTTTTACAAAACAAATTGTGGAATAAACAATTCATTAAAAAATCATCAAGAAGTCTAAACACCCAAATGTCCCAAAAAAAGAGAGAGATGTCGGTCTACTGGTTAGTTACATCCGGTTAACTGAGTTACTTGGATTTTCTTGCTGACAGATTCATCATTATAGGCTATTGCCAAAATGCCATTAGTATACCCGACGCCCATGGCATATTTGTCTTGTTTCAAAAAATCAACATTTCCCTTAGTCTGAATAACCCAGTCATCAACACATTCCCGGCCAGTTTCGGAATTTGATCTGTATACCAAATAAAATTGATGCTGTATAGGAATGTCAGACAATTTTTTGCCATTTGGCATGGTATCGCCGGCCTTGAATATGGGGGGAGCTTTGGCACCAGGCTGGCGGGATTGATAAGCGTTGTCAGTTAAGCTTTGGGCATAAGGGGTTAGTTCTTCGTGGATAAAGAGAGGTGGGAGATTGCGAGCCTTGCGTTGAGAGTTGATTGAACACATTACACTTTTTCTGAAATCATCAAGAGCAGTACCAGGAATTGTACCGGGAGTTGTGCCAGGAGTTGTGCCAGGAGTCGTACCGGGAGTCGTGCCGGGAGTTGTACCAGGGTTTGTTCCAGGGCACTTTTTGGGATTTTTAGAAGATGAGGCCAAGTTTTGGTTGCTGCCAGTAAGAGCACCATTGGTTGTACTGGATACAACAAAAAGAAGGACAAATGCAATGAGGACGGTTAAAGAACTAAAGCTTTTTTTGGAAACCATGATAATAAACGGTGGTCGTGAAGAGTTTGTGATAGACGGATAGATAGAGTGAAGAGACAATGATAAGGTTTTCAAGTTTAACGTGTTTATCGAACAAGATTAGCGAGGCCTAAAGATATATCAAAGGTATATAGCGGTTTTGTGCTGGATTGTTAGTTAAATCACTGACAAAAAGTGTAGGGTAATATGGCGAAGAGAGTAGTAATGGTGGTCGTGATGGCGGTTGTTGGAGTAAGGGATTGAAAAAAGATGCATCTGACAAAATACATTGGAAAGGCCTCGGTTTATATACCTAATTTAATGTCAGTAACAGCAATTGAATTTTACAAGTGCCTCCGCAAATTCCTTTCAAGCACAAAATATATTTCAAATGATAACCCAAAAAAGGCTACACGAATTAATTCATTTCGACACAATTGACAGCTGGTTTGCCTTTTCTCTTTATTATCGGGTATTTTTTAAAGTTTATAAACATGTGTTTTACCTTTGTGTCTGCTGCATCATATCTCTTTGTCAATATGTTGGACCAGATTTCCTGCTTGTCTTGTTTAAACAGAAAAGGATGGAATAATGAGAGGTAATTTAAACTTTGCAGCATACATACATACACCCTCTCCACGTGGCCTATATTTTTATCCATGTTTGTGGCTGAGTGTGTCATGATATTGGTAAAAATGAGCTGAAAGAAAGGCATTTTGAATGACAAAATTAGCCCTTTGGCATCTTGCAACAAAGATGGATGTACAAGTCAGCAAAACCATGTTTTGTTGAACTTTTTTAATTGTTGGTCACACACATACATACACATACGCCTTTAAAGTATCATGCTCTTTTTAATATTGCTTGGAAACTATTGTTCTATGGTCAGTCAAGTTCACAAGGTTTTAGGCAAAACGATGAGCCCAAAGGAATTGCATAGAAAACACCTGATGACTGGGCCAAAGTCTGAGGTTCCAGTTCTGCCTACCTTATATTTGATCACTTGTGAAATTTTCCCATTTATTAACAAATGACAACCATCCGTTTAGCTGTGGCTGCTCCTATACTCATT